CGGGAAGTAGAGACACTGCTGGGCCTTCTTGGTTATGGAGCTGGACCAGAAGGGACCAGGAGAGGTTCTCCGCCAGGTGGACACCAAGGAATTTGGTGCTCTTGATGATCTCCACAGAGGATCCATTAATGTTAAGTAGGCAGTGATCTCTCTGTGCTCTCCTGAAGTCAACAATCATCTCTTTGTTTTGTCCACGTTCAGAGACAGGTTGTTGACTCTACACAAGTCTGTTAGCTGTTGTGAGTTATATTAAAAATAATCTTGCAACAAATAGATTAAATGTAACTTTACATACTGATAACAGTCAAAAATATAAACAGCTCATATAGGTGTACATAAACAATGTATATAAAGTGTAGAAGAGTAGCAGAGTCCTTAGTTTTTGGGTAAGCTTCTTGAAAGCACAGAGCAATTTTTGAGTGGTTCACCTTAATATCTTTCTCACTGATTTAGAAATGTGACAAATCTCCAGCAAAATGTACGCCACGAAACGCCAGATACCTCTATCGTGGGCATTACCTTTGATCATCTGAAATCAAGCAGAGTGATGTGATATCTCAGAACAAGAGTAATAAAAAAGAAGATCTACATGATGAAAACCAAAACCTGCAGAACGATCTTTGCATATTATCTCTGTGGGATTCGAAGCGCTGTGAAGAATAACATCAGTTTCTCGCCAGCTTCTGTCAACATTCCTGCAAAGATCATCAAAACATCATCATCATTGTTCTGCGCATAACGGATCGTGCAGAATACAGTGAAATTAAACTTGCTTTGGGTTTATTTAGGATTTCAGACTTTCCATTATATCCTCGCACCAGTAGCAATTAGTATCTAAATAAACAGGTCAGTCAATAATGAGTCTGACATCCGCTCCAGATGGCAGGAGATTTCCTCCTGTACTGCCCGTATTGTTATTTTTGCACAAGCAGTAAAAACAGAGACTAGACACTGTGCGGCCATGGAGGGGTATGCTGTTTTCTGTTTTGTTTTTTTCACTTTTCTGACTTCTGTTTTCCATAACCTAAACTCAGGATGTGCACATGGTATCACATCAGGAAGAACTCAGACTCTGTTTGCCGTTTGAGTATAAAAACAGATAAGTGAGGCTTGAGATCAATACTTCCTAAAAATGTCAGGGTGTTTATCTCTCACAGTGATTTCCTGGCTTGTGTACTTTGATTCCTCAAGACAAACTGTGACAAACTGTCAATATTAAGCACTGTTGGCCTTTTATAAGCACATCTTTCACTCTTTTCAAAGGGTAAAAAACAGGCTGATAGCCTATAGACTGTAATTCAACCATGATTGTCAGAGTTAATCATTTGGACTGTCTATTCTGTATCTAACAAGTTTATGTGACACCTCGATGCCATAGATACACTTTAACTCATTTGTAAACAGGAAGTTATAAAGAGAAATTGTTAAATATTTTTGATAACATATGTGATGTTTCTATGTACAGCAGACTGCTTGAAAAGGAGAACAACAGAGGTTTTGTGGTGCGGCTAGACTGAGAAATTAGTAATTACTATGTATGTCCTCATGGTATTCTTAGTCTTGACATAAAGTCTGAACAAAGTTGTGACAATGCTGAGGTTATATTTGACAAGCAACACACATGTTGTAATTTGAAGCAGCGTAACAGTTTCTCTTTCTATTCAAGAAACAGTAAATTTCTTTTATAATACGAGTGCTAATATATTATTCGAATGAAGTATTTTCTGCCATAGCTGCTTTGAAAGATTTATGTGCTTTCACTCTTGTTATTTGTTATTTTTTAAATTTATTTAATTTTTTAATTTTGTAATTTTTTTTTACTTTAGGAATAAACTGACATGGAACTGTGTGTGTGTGTGTGTGTGTGTGTGTGTGTGTGTGTGTGTGTGTGTGTGTGTGTGTGTGTGTGTGTGTGTGTGTGTGTGCAAAGCTTGTTTGATTACTGTGCTGAAAGCCGGTCAAGAGCAACTCGTGTAAAAATAGGAAATTTGACATGCACAATGAAAGCTGCTTACATCTGTCTGCAGTCATTTGGCATCATTTCCATGTCACCGAACACGGGGAAGATCCACTACACCAGCTGCTCTGCAACAGAGGGATGAAATCACATTTATAGTCACTAAGAGTGACACGCGAGTGACATGAAAACAGAAAAGTTTGACGCAGCAAGAAAGAACTGCTCCTAAGGGTGACAGAAAAGGTATGGGAGGAATGTCACCTATCGTTAGCACACGGAGCCTGAGCTGTTGTTTTGGCACATCCTGATGCTGATTGTGACTGTACTGTGAAATCACTCACTGTAATCCCAATATCTAATGATTTGTGCCTTCTCCAGAGGAATCTTCTATCCCATCAACTGACTTTAAAGCTGTTTAGTTCTTCCTCTTTGTGGCATAAATGACACACAGCATAAGCATCTTACTCGGAAGAAGCAAACAAGCAAACTATGAAAAGAAGATATTTTCTTGTATGACTACTCGTGTCCCCCTTCTCCAGTCTTTTAAGGTTTCCATGTGACTCTCCTGGAGAATTTCTGCTCATTCTGACTCTGATGATGATGACGGGGCAGCTGAATGCAGAGACTTTGTTCCACTAATGAGCAGTGACATGCAGCTACACTGACCTATGGTGACAGAGGACTGCCCACATCAGCAAAACAATGGACTGATGGAATCCCCCCTGAACTCGAGCTATGGGGTCCTGCTACACCCTCACTGTTGAGAAGGAAATGGTTACTCGTGTGACCTGAACTGGGTCATAATGGATGATGATTTATTGAATCAGAAGGGTGACTGCTCAGAGCTATCACAGATAAAGAAAATTAAAAGGGAACTTCACTGATAATACAGAAGATTTAACTCATTTGTCACTGTCATTAATAGTTGAGTGCTAGTTTTAAAAAAATGTTTTTAAGCCTCAGATGAATGTGCTTTAGTTTGGTGTCAGCACATCTTTACCTGGACTTCGAAACAACAGATTTAGAAATCAGCTCTTTCATAATCAAGCAGACTTTAAAACACACGGTGCTGCAAGGATGCATGAATTCATAATTTCTGCTGCATTTCTATTTGACCTGTCACCAAAACTATGGATATTACTGATTTGTATCCTTCTCGCTTGTGTATCTGTCTTGGTCATATCTAGTAGATTTCTTGATTAATTCAGTTCATTTATATATATATATAGCACTATATATGTGTGTGTGTAGGGCCACTTTGGAGCAACAGTTACCTCATGGTGCTTTATACTGCAGGGTAAAGAACCAACAAGATTAGAGTTAAAAACTCAAAAAAGTCAGATGATCCACTATTATAAAGAAATGGGCAATAGTGGGAAGGAAGAACTCCCTTTTTAACAGGAAGAGAAAGCTAGCAAAACCAGGCTCAGGAAGGAATAGCTAGCTATTGTGGTGAGTTCGGCGGGGAGAGGAAGAAGAAGAAAGAAAAGAAGCACAAAGAGAAATAAGGACAAATAAAAGGAGTGAATGAAGAAGAAATGCTCAGTGTGTGTCAGAATTCCACCAGAAGTCTGAGCCCATAGCAGCAAATAAAAGGGGTGGTCACCTGATCCAGCCCTAACTATGAGGTCTGCCAAAAAGTAAAGTTTTAGGTCTAGTCTTCAAAGAGGGGAGAGGGTTTCTGTCTCCTGAATGCAAACTGGAAGCTGGTTCCACAAGGGAGAGGAGAGGAGAGCTACAATGCTCTGCTCCCATTTTACTTTTAGAAACTTTGGGAACTAGATTGTGAAATCCTTGTGGGCTTCTATTTAAAGATATGATGATTTGTGCATTTTCAACTAAAAACTTCTTCTTTTAACTGACTGGGTAGTCAGCTGTTAGCTGCTAAGCAACACATCTAAGCAACTTGTGGCACAAAGTTTACGTGTGGAGTTTGAGTTGAACTTTCTGAGGGTATTTTGACAGTATTTGTGGTTGTTATGTATTATACGTTGTGAGACTGAGGAGACTATCAGAGATGATTCATCTCTAGGCTTTCACTTTATGACTATATAAAGAGTAGCCAGAGTTCAGTGCAGGTTTCTTTATAAACCTCCAGAGAGAGACTTGTTTTTGTGGAGATGCATGCTGGTGCTAACCTCATCAACACAGAGCAGCCTGCTTTAGGCTTTAGGCGTGTTAATAAAAGGAACTATGCTGCCATCTTATGGCGACAACTGCACTTCCGCTCCGTCACTACCTGAACTTTCCCAGGATCTCCGGGAGATCTGAACGCATCACAGTGTCAAACGACCAACACACCTGGACTCCTCACGCGGATGTGACGTAGCTTAAATCACCATTAGTTTATTTATTTATTTATTTATTTATTTTTAGAGTTGTGCGCAGACAGAAAAAGAGAGGTAAGTGAACAAAAGGGATTTTGTGAACAAGTAAATTTTATGACCTCTGGGTGGCGCTGTAGTTATTCTCCACAGCAACAAAACCTTCACCTTTAGGCGATATCCACAAGGTTTGGTTTTGTGTCAGCTCCTTGAGATTTCCCTTAAACAGTCCCCTCCTTATCTAGTTTGCTTCTGACAAAAAAGAAGAAAAGTGTTACTGTTGCTCAGGGTTTTTTTTTTTACTATAAAGAACTGTTAAGCTTTAATAAACAAATTCCAACAAAAAACATACACTGTGCTGCAAGCCAAAAACTGCTTCTTGGCCCAGTTTAATGCATCGTTTTCCTAACGTGCAGTAGGTGTTATCCATTGTCCAAAATCAATATTCATCTGGTTTTAAACGGCAGTTTGCGCGTGGAGATCAGGCCTGGTTCTGCAGGCTAAACCTTTTGAGATGCTTTTATGTAAAACTATCCGCAGACAACTGGGACAGACAGACCTGAAGAAATAATGGAGGGTGGACGCGGTGGGGAGTAGTCAGTCGTGCAGCCCTTACTCATTGGTTGCCTCAGACACAGTAGCTCTCCCTCTCACTCTCTCATAAATGCGCTCCCACCGCCAACCGTAGCAGATAATCACAGGCCACTGTGAGAAGGACACACCTTGCGCTGATTTTGCCAAGGTATACACGGGGATGCGTTTTGATTCACGAAAGGGTATCATCAGTGCAAGATTTGAGTTGTGCTTTACAGCCTGTCGCGCAATCGCCTAGGTCGCGATTTTTGCGATATTCTTTTTTTTTTTTCGCATAGGTTAGTGGGCTGCTCTCCCCCAGTTCCAAGATGACTGGAGTTTTCGAGAACTTAAATACTGATATGCATTCGAACCAGATTACCTCAAGCAATTACCACAGCTTGCACAAATCGCAGGAGTCCCCGACTCTGCCGGTTTCCACGGCGACGGACAGCAGCTATTACAACGGCCAGCAGCCTGGGCACTGCGCCGGGTCACCGTTTGGACAACTGGGCACTTACCAGTACCACAGCAGCGCCACGAGTTCTGTGCCATATAACGCAAAGTCATACGACCTCGGTTTCAACTCATCGTATGGTACATACGGTTCTTATGGCTCCAACTCATCGCCAACTCCCGCAGACACAGGTAGGCGAGCTCTCAAGTTCGTTTTAGAGCATTTTGCATGTATTCAGTGGCTTTGTCTTTGACCAAAACGCACTGCAGAACATGTCTGAGTTAATTTGTATGCACAGTATTTGACAAAAATATTATTATCTGACTAAAATGTATTGATGCTTTATTTTTCTTGTATGAATATGTAACACGATAAACTGTTTTATTTATTTCCAAAGAAAGAGCCTACAGATCCACAAAGTGGCCTATTTTGGCTTTTTGTATTTTTTTTAGTAGGGCCTTATAAATATACATAATTTAATCAAATCAGGTTTAAGGTATTTGGGGTACACAAATCTGACAAACCTAAAGTGACAACAGTGCAAATACGCCTAGCAGTTCTGCAACACTGAAAAATGCCCAAACCCTTCGTGCCTAACGTGAATTGCATTTGAATGTTCCCTCAGAGAAAGATGAGAGCGAGCCAGAAATCCGGATGGTTAATGGAAAACCAAAGAAGGTCAGGAAACCTCGAACCATTTACTCAAGCTTCCAACTGGCTGCACTTCAACGGAGGTTTCAAAAGACTCAGTATTTGGCTCTACCAGAACGGGCCGAGCTGGCAGCGTCGCTGGGCCTTACGCAAACACAGGTGGGTAGTCTGCATCTGTGGGCTCATGCGCTGTCAAATATCCACTGCATGTCTCAGTGTGAAAACAAATTAAAACTGACAAAGATGGGATTTAAGGGGGAAATATCGCTTATAATCGATTTTAAGCTTAAATTAGTTTCTTTCTTTTTTTCTCAGGTTAAAATCTGGTTCCAAAACCGCCGCTCCAAGTTCAAGAAGCTGTGGAAAAGTGGAGAAATCCCCCCAGAACAACATGTTGCTTCCAGTGAATCTCCCCCGTGCACGTCTCCACCAACTACCGCCTGGGACTTTCCACAGACTCAAAGAATGAACAATGTCAGCTCTAGTTTACCTCAGAGCAGCAGCCCTCCAAACACAACTGCGCCTTCGTCGTTTTTGGCAAACTACTCCTGGTACTCAACTACGAACTCTGCCACGCATCTGCAGCCTCCTCTGGTTCAGCATCACCACAACTCCGCCATAAGCGCTGGGACAATATTCTGAAATTTAAAAGAGAGAGCGAGCGAGAGAACGAGAAAACGTCGGGTGTAAATCGGACAATACTGGTGAATAAAGAGAAAATAAAATGCCATTACCTTCATTTTGCAGACCTCGTGCTTGCACCATACGAACTTTACGCGCAGCATCTAGGAGATTTCATGGAACCAGACAGGTTTATGGACCTTGCCAGTTTTCGTGCTTACAAATGGTAGACTCAGATTTCTACAGTTATTTTTGTATTTATTTATTTTGTTTATGTGAGGGATGAATGAACCACTATTACCCAAAGCAATCACAGCATGGGCGCGAGCCCATATACTTTTACTTGGACGTCACTTTTTCTTCTTCTTTCTTTTGTTTTTTTTCTCTTCCTTTTTTATGTGTGTTGCCATCCCTGCAAAAAAATAAAATAAAATAAAACATGAATCGCAGGACAACCTGTCACAAATGTAGCACAAGTTAACTGTATGGTGCCTTTTTTGCAATATGACCTCATTTATGTTGTGCGATCAAAACAAAACCAGCTTACCTTTATCCATTCCTCACGTAGTTCATCTGAATAGTCCGGGGGGATAAGTGTTCCGATCCACGTTTGTAAATATTTTACAACAGCTTTTTTTTCATATCCCACCTCGCTTTGACTTAATTTTATTTTTTATTTTTTTGTCTTTTTCTGGCTCTTCATCCATTAACCACCGTGAGCTACTGATTGTCCCGCCCTCTGACTTGTATCAACACTAAATTGTATTTTCTTTTTTTGTTCTGGTCTTATTTATTTTAGCAGTGTTTCATATATGGCCAGATTTTATTTAAATAAAATGTTTTCTGTGCATTTGCATCCGAGTTTGTATGTGTGTATAAATACATTCTATGTTCACTAAAGCTGGATTTACCCTCTCAAAAAAAAAAAAGTAAATAAATAAAAATAAATCATTTTAGAAAATGAAGGCATGTCGATGCATTAAGATTTATTTATTATTATTTATTTATTCATTTAATTTAATTTTGTGCCTTTTTTTATTAAATGGGTTTAAAAATAAATAAATAAAAAATCTTAGGAAACAATTTGTTGTAAAAATGTAGCCTGTAGTTACATGAAGGTCTTGTGGTGCTATATCACGAGCGTGGACAAGCTCCAGGGCATCCAGGGGGACTCCTGAGTTGTCTCGGTTGAAATTTACTTCTGACTGCCGCCAGCAGCTGCTTATCCGAACCGAGGCTCGGGCAGGCAGGCAAGCAGAGACAGAGGCCCGGGGGGCGCACGCCGAGCTTAGAGCGACAACATCATCAACACGCCTTGGCATGCGAGAGGAGAAGACGAGGGTGGGTATGAATGAGCACAAGCTCGTCAGACTCTGTGGAGTCACAGAGCCGCTTTCCAGACGTTTTATGAACTCAACCTAACAAGAGAAAAGAGACAGGAACTCGAGAGCCAAGACAGCCTGCAGCTACAACATCATGGAAACATTTCTCACGCCTCACAAGCGAGGTCTCTGATCTTCGAAGACGAGCAGCTTGACCCACATTATTTGGCTGCTTGTAGGGCCTGTGGGCAACATGGAAAACACAGGCATACGTCCAAAAAAAACAATTTATTGGAGCCATGCAGGAAACCCTGTTTTATTATAGATTTAATTGAGAAAATGTTTATTAGAGATGTTTTGACTCCAACAGACAGGTAGAGCGGGGCTCGTGTTATTTACACATGGCTCCCACACAAAGATGGTGATATACGGTGCATGGTCCCACACGCTTCTCTTCAAAAGACTACAGGCCATAAAGTGGGACCTCTTCCTTGTACATAATTAAGACTGCAGCTTGTCAGCGGTTGCTGTATCTGCATGATGAAGCCCCCCACCAACCAACCCCCCCCCCTAGGGCTGACAGTATCAGACACATGCAGCCCCCCTATGTACATACGTCTAAAAAATCAGTGTTGCAAATAGTGTACAAGCGTGCACTTAAAAAATGCTCCAAAATAACACATTTTGCTTGCTTTAATTTATTGTTTGCGTCATAAAATAAAATAAAGGGGGGGGGGGGGGGGGGGGGTTCTGGGTGCTTTCTGTTGCTCCCTGTGATTTCATTCATGGATTAGAGCTGCTGTGGTTTATACTTTTTGCATTTCTCTGGGCAACTTGTAAATGCCATACCCCCCTATCCTAATTTATACCCTGATCTGTAATTTCATCCAAATTTGCTCTGGTTTGAGCATTCTGGCTTTCAAATCTGAAAGCCTGCAATTACTATATAATTCTTCGCAATTTTAGATGTCCTAATATGGGGTGTAATTTTTACACAAGACAATTTCCCGCTATTTCAAGCATCAACATTGTCAAAGTTGTATGTACATAATAAATGGGAATATCAATGCATAGTTTTTAGCCTAACATCTTGACTCGACGGTAATTATATCCGTGTGGAGCCTACGCAGAATTAGCCTGAATTGCATGGTAACTGCTGCTTTAAATTTTAAAAAATTACTCATAATTTCCCCCAAAGATTACCAAGATCTCGAGTGCACAATGTCATCAGCGTAATGAGGAGTAAACATTTATGCTAATAATCTACATTTTTTTCCCCATCAGCTATAAAGAGGGGAAATAAAGCAGACATTTTCAGTCATATTCTGAACTCTGCTGCTATAGCTTAGACCGACACATGGGACACATTTTGTGGGATTTAAGCGCTCGTCTTGAGTCTGTGCTGAAGGACTGCTGCTGCTTCTTGCTGGTGGTGCTGATCTGCCTCCATGCTGATATCTGAAAATCCAGAGAGGGCAAGCTTGTCTCTTCAATTTCAAGCTGAAAGGTGTGTACCACATGTTTATTTCTTACATTTTAGGGGCTTCGCCGAGTGGCAATGAGGCTCGATTTGTCCATTTCTTTCATTGCGCACAGCCTTTATTAATTTGTATTCTCATCCGTGAATGATGCTGATTCTTTGATGCCGTTTCAAAGACTAGATCCTCAAGAAGCAGGAGGGGTAAAGAAAAATATATTACACGTGGACTATTTTATCCTCCAACTTCAGTGTTAAAGTGCAACCGAGGAGCTTCTTTTAGCTGAAATCTCCCATGGCTTAGAAAGCCGCTCACATGGAGAGAAGATGCAAGGAAGAGGAGACAGAGAAGTTCTTCTTTATAGTCGCTGCACTCGTTACTCTTACATTGTGCTTTGCTCATTTTGAAGCCTCTTCGCATTGACAACTCGGTGATGTACACCTGCAAGCAATTTGTCAGTCTTATACATAGGCTAAGTCTAAAGGGAACGGTGACGAAATGGCACCTCACCTATTTCACTTTTTTTCCCCTCCTATTGCAGCAGAAAATGTCTTTCAGAGCGCTATCTCTTTTGTCAACGCAGAAAGATCCTCGGTGCGAAAAAAAATTGCTCATAATTACCTCAGAGATAGGAAACTGCATTAGAATAAATAAGGGCGAAATTACTGTAATTATGCTGGGTTTGATGGGCTCAGCTCGTATAATCAAGGGGAGAATACAGCGAAATAACACTGACCCTCTTGGATGTGCAGCTGCGCCTTTTCTAAGGCTAGGTAGGCAGATTTATGTTCACTGCAGCAGCAGCAGCTCTGCTTTCCTAATGGTATCGAAATATACGAAGGCCTGTTGTAAATGTGAGGCTGCACACAAAGAGCTCTACATGTTTAAGATTTGTATTAGAATAACAAAGGAGACGGCATCGAAGCAAAGCATGCCATAAAAAACAAGGCTACTACTCACGCTTACTAGTTTAACGTGTTCTACAATAATAATAATAATAATAATAATAATAATAATCTTGTGTTGGTTACTTTTTTGGATGTTGGCTTGAGTCAGGTTTAAACGGACTTCGCAGATGCCAGAAAATAATATTTTTAGGCCGAATTTGCTATTATAATAACATTTATTTATTCATGGAGCTGTGACAGCTGCAAGAGCGAGCACATCCGTGCATCAAAAAAATTGTTCTTTCTTTGTTTTGTTTTTTGAATTTTTTTCTTTGCAGGCACATACAAAACTCTAATTTTTGTAATATATTTTTCAATTCTTTATTTTATTTTTAATTTATGTTAATTTTTATTTTTTTACTTTAATTTAATATTAATTATTCAAATCATTATTTACTTAATTACTTATATCGTTTACTTTGATTTTTCCCCAATGCATCCAAGTGTTATTTGAATTTCTATGAATATTGCTAAAATCCAACTATAATAAATGAATTTGTTTCCTATATCACCACCGAAATGCGCGCGAAAAACAGATCTCGTTCTTCTTTTTAAAATATTATTAATATTTATTTCATTTTTTCCCATGTAGATGGCTATTTCTAACCACAGCCTTCGGCCGTGTTAAACAAACAAGAAGGCCTTTGAACTTTTCACTCTCACTGATCTCCATCTAATCCGCCCTTTGCCAGACTTTTTTTTTCTTGTTGCAGCACCTGCCTCTTGTGCAATTATTCACTTAACACACCCAATTGATCTCCCTCATGACGAAAAAGTGAAAAAGTGAGGATCGTTAAAGAGTGGAACAGAAAGGAGGTTATCTTTAAGAAAGGGCTGAAAGGCGATTTTGCTGAATGACACAGTGGTGGTTAAATCATATATATATATATGTATGTATATATATATATATATATATATATATATATATATATATATATATATATACATACACACACACACTGCAGAGACTAGGCCTCGTAACAACACTGTCTTGATGCATTTTTACATGCGAGGCCAGATTTCTAATTCTGAGCTTGACTCCAGAGGTCTGACAACATCTGCAGCCAGCGAGCAGCAGCACAAACACATGCAGGCTAAACGCTAGACATGACCATAAATCTAAACGAGGACCCTTTTGCAGTTAATTCAAACGCGCTCACATGGTGTCTGCTACAATAGCCAACATGATACTCCTTTGTGTCAGCTCGCATTAAACCTGCACCACGCTGAAGCCTTTCTTTTCAGGGGCCAGGGTGGGTAGAGGAGGATGGAGGGGTGGTGGTGATGGCGGTATGGTGGGGTGGGGTGAATCAGACACCGTTCTTGACATAATTTAAATCATATTTTACTGCTTTTGAAACTTTGCACATTATGTACATAAACTTCAGAAACAGATAAATAAATTAAGGTGATCAATACAAAACTAAATATTTCCTATGTTGACTAAACACATTTCGACGAGTAAGCTACACAAAGCCTAAACCCTGTTTCACAGCGTATCCAGTATACAGCACAAAAAAGGAACAGAAAAAAAGAAAATTATGTACAAAATACAGTGACAAATGAGCTGCTCACCCTCAGGACAATTTTTTTTCTAAAGCAGCAAATCGTCAGGCCTTTTACATTTTTCACATAACATCGGGGCACGGCATAGAAAAGCTTTGCTTGCGTTAGTGCAGCATTAACAACACAGTGTTGTCATTTCAAACACGCTTACAAACTGAACACAGACTGACCTCAAACAGAAAAAACTAGCCCGAATAATTTAACTTAAATAACAAACACGTAGAAACAACATAGTAGCATCTCGAGGCTCTGCGCACAGCACCCTGTGCTCTGCGGTTGAATGCGCTGTGAGTGGAGCGGCTTGATGGCTACCGCTGGAATTTATCGTTAATTATTTGGTTAGAGAAACTCTGCTGTGGCCTAAGTGGCCCTTTTAACTGTCGATGAATGCAAATTGACTCATCACCTTGGGCCCCGACAATCTGGCGTAAACAAACACGTGTTTTCTAATAAACATGTAGCCTACAGCTCAACAACCGAAGTGTTCACACAAATATGAGTTTGAAAACAAACAGAAACCGACATTTGGAAAAAAAACAAAAAAAAACAACAAACAAAAGCAGCCAAAAAAAAACAAATGATCCTTTTGTCTGCGATTTCCGCTGTCAGGGACGGTCACGGACTGGTTGCCCTCTGGCGCATTGTGCGCCTTTTCACTCTGTCTGACCTCTTCTCTTCTTCTGTATCTCTGCTCGCCGTCTTCGGTATGAGGAGGCCTCTGTGTCAGCTGGCGGGATGCGGCAGCAAACTCCGGGAATCTTGTTGTTTGTTGTGCATTGTCAATGCTGAGCCGCGCTCAGCGGCTGCTGGGCCTTTCACCATCCTGATGCTGAGCTCTCTGCTCACATGAGCTGTGACTGTTGCATAGACTCTTGGTGTGTGGTTGGATACCATGAGGTGTAGCTGGGAATGTAAGATCCGGTCGTGCCCATTGAAGTCTTCACGGTGGTCGGCGAGCTCCAGACAGGTGCCACCGAGGGAGAACCACTGGAAAGTCCACGGCCGGCGGCCAAAGCGTTGCTGTCGATCGTACCACCGCCTTGCTTCATCAGCTTCTTGAATTTGGATCTTTTATTCTGAAACCAAATTTTTACCTGCAGATTTTTTTTTTTTTAAAGAGAGACATTAAAATATATGTAAATATATATAACCATTTTACGCGGTTTTACGCACGTGAAAAGTGAAAAGCAAAACATGATAATAAAAAATATAAATTATCTTTATTAATAAACAACACTAAATAAATTATAGTCTATAATAATAATAATAATAATAATAATAATAATAATAATATAAGAAGAAGAAGAAGAAGAAGAATGTATGCTGTGAGAGATTAAAAAAACCATTTAAAAATGTGCAGAAATGCGTCGTTGGCGCAGCTGCGCAGTGAAGCTATGTGTGTGCGGATCACACTCGCCTGTGTCTGGGTGAGACCCAGCGACGCTGCGAGCTCAGCTCTCTCCGGTAGCGCCAAATACTGAGTCTGTTGAAATCTCCTGTTCAGGGCTTGAAGTTGTAAACTCGAATATATAGTCCTTGGTTTTCTAATCTTTTTCCCTTTGCCGTTGAAGCGCACCTCTCCGCCTTCCACCACTGTGTTTTTCTCTGTTTCTGGCGCTGGCAGAGACACAGAAGAAAGCAAAGAAGAAGAAGAAGCAGAGAAGGGGAGAAAAATGAGGAGACAGTTGTAGCAAAGAGTGCTGCACAGCAATGAATACTGCAGCGCAAGTTTTACAGGCTGTACTTTAGGTATAATTACCCTTAATTGCATACATTGTTTATAGCCTTACGCAATAAATAATTACCAAGCCTAATTCCACATCTGGGTCGTCTTTTTTGCCTACACCGTCTAGTGGAAAGCCGTACCAGCACAGAAAGTTGATATTTAGGATCCAGAGCACTCTGTGGCACACTTACCTGCATCTTCTAATCGTGTCTGCGTGAGTCCCGAGCTGTTTTGGTAAGTCTGTACTGTGCTGAGATATGGACTGGTGGAATGGCTGCCGACGGAATTTACGTATGGATAACCCAAGGATCTGGGGAACGACGAGGCTGGACTGTAGCTGTCGTGCTGTGTGTGACCTGCAGAATGTAAACAGTGCATGGGATAGTGTCCGTGAGACATGGAGGAAGGCGACATTTGTTGACTCGGGGGTCCAAACTCCATGAAAACGGTTTTTCCTGAGGCAGGGCTATTAAGACTTTCTGGAATCGTAGTCATTGTCATCTCTTCTGGCGGTTCCCCTTGTCTCGCTTTTGTTGTTTTCCTTCTATGATCTCAGTGAAGGACGGATCCCAATTTAAGCCGAACAGATTTTTTCTCTTTCCATTCATAAGAAAATGTAGTTTGTGCCCGTGAAAAGTCCTAGGAATGATGCTGTGGACCAAGACAAACTCGCTCAAAGGTTTGAATCTCGGACTCATGAATATTCATCAAGACTGTCGCTGATTGGTCCACTCTCTCCAAGAGGGAAGCCGATTGGTGACGCTGGGGCTAGGTCCGAAGAACCTGATAAAGTCAAGGAAAACCGCAAAACCTCAGATTTCCTCCTGACATGTCAAGATTCACCATAATAACATGATTATTATTTGTAGTAGTGATACTGCTACTGCAAAAAAAAAAAAAGGCCAGTAAACTTAAATATTCGGCTGCTCTTTCTGCATTAAAGCCTTTTTTTCTTAAGATGATGATCACAGCTCCCAATGCTGCATCAGGAGTGAACGCGTATTAGCATAACACTAGCGTTCAATTTTCATAAGTAGGCCTGTAATTAGTCATGTATTTAACACTTAGTGCAACTTGAGGTCTCACCTGGCAGCAGAGGGACTGAAACAGCAAAGTCTGCAATGATGTGAAATGAGAAGCTTCTCTGTCTGAGGCCTGATGATGACAAGAATAATACCAACTAAAAAAACAACAACAACACAGCATCACAGCATATTACGGCAAATGTAGCAGAGCAATCCCTTTAAATTAAACCCGGGGATACTGCTTGTATTTAAACTACAGTTTCCAAATTTAGTCTTGCAAATTTAGGCAAACTTGCGGTTTTATTTTTGCGCATCTTTTTTTTCCTTTTTCTTTTTTCCCTGTTTTTTAGGCCGGATGGACACGTTTTCTAGTCGCTTTCCAAACATCTTTACGCACCCTTTTTGCCGCAGTCAATTTACTGATCACAGTTTAGTTAAACACCGCCACCTTTGATTATTATGAATCTAAGTGAGGATGGGGTGCGGCCAGCCTCCCACAGCCTAACAAGAATAATTGTCGTTTGATTTAATTGAACTTACTACTGAAAAGACTGGAGGCAATTTCCCTCAGCGGCAGATTTAGAACAAAATTCAAATTGGTACAGGAGCTGCAATTTAAAATATAGATACACATACATATCTGTTCACTTACTCAATTTTTTTTAAGTCATGAAAAAAAGCAAATAAATCCGCATCATCCGGGGTCAGGGAGCCTCCGCGGGATGCACTTGAAAGAAGAAGAAAGTATCCAGCAGCAGCAGCAGCTCTTCATTTTATTAGGCTTCATTTGTAGGCTGCTTCTCTTCTGGTGTCTGCGCAGAGCAGAAACACAGCCTGGCTGCTCCATCCGTAGTCCCTCCATCTCCACCTGAATAACAAATTAAAGGCAGTTAAATTCCGTCACTGTGATTATCAGTATAATTACATAATTGAACTCATAGCAGAACTAGCAAGTTGCAAAATGTGTTATCAAAATGCAGGCGCTGACATCACGGCGCGTGTGCCACAATGTGCCAGGCGGCTGCGGATGCCTGAATTTAAAGATTTCTGTGAAATATTAGGCTATAACGAAAGCTGGTCCCTTGTCCCCCCTAAAATAGGCCAATTTGAAGTGATTTCTCTGGAATTACTTTCGAAAAATGCTTCAAGATTTCCTCTATCAACAACGACAATGATAATGGTAGTACAACCAATAATTATCATCTTCCAGAACAGAGGACAGATTTTTATGGGTACTTGGTGGGTGCGACTGATAACTGTCATTATTTTCCCACGATTATAGTATCTACAGACAGCTGTGAAGCAAAACCATTAACAGAATAGAGGCAGAATTTGCAGAAAAATGTAAAATAACACCCTAATAATAGCAATAATAATGAGAGATTTTTATGTCATTTGGAGACGAGGAGAAAAACATCCTGCATAAATTATATTCATCCCATTGATCCTTCTTGCAGAATCAAACATTTACAAACTTAATTTGACAACTATTTATTTCCTATTTAAGGGGGATTTTTTCTCTCTCTCTCTCTTTTTCAAGCCATCCTCGGTGTGGCTCGGACGAGGCAGGCGCGGTGATAATATTACCGCTTTCATTAATAATTTGACTCCTGCGCACGCCGGCAGGAGGGCAGCGCAGGCCACAGCGGTCCTTCCTGCAGCGGGGCAGCACGGCTCTAACTAGCCACACTAAAAATAAAGTCCTCCATGCATGGATGGAGCGCGGAGGCAGGACTCATTAGGAGTGAGTAGCTCTGTGGCTGAGGGTGTTTTAACACCTGCTGCTCTTCACCTGAGGGTTAGTGCAGAGGTGGAGAGACAGAAAGAGAGAGGGGGGCTGCTGCTGCTGCTGCTTGTGGTGGTGATGGTGGTGGTGGTGGGGTAAACGGGCCAAGATGTCACAGACTTCATTTCAGTCCGGTGATAGAAAGCCCTCCTCAACTGCCATACCAACCCACATTTTAACAGCCGCCAAATATTACCCCGACCGCGGTGCGCTGGTAAACTGTGCATCCATGCTGTGTGGAGGCTCAGCTCCCTGTGCACCCTGCAGGCTCTGCATGGGAGTGATGATTAATTACCAACACTGGAGGTGCAGGGAAATTTAAATCCTTTTTTTTTTTTTAAATAAAATAAAATCGCAATTCCTCTTCCTTAAACTGCAAAAGATCAAATATGCCTATTAGGATATGTATATTTCACCCTCCTTCTGATTTTAGAATTTCTGAGAATATTGAATTATTTCCGAAGTGTGCAAATCCTTCTTTTTTTTTTTTATTGCTATTATTATTATTTACTAAATGGTTATAGGGCACAGATATCTCAAACAGCACTAACAATATAACTGATGTAAAATCTTATTATTAATAATAATAATAATAAAGATGAATACAGCAGGCCTCAGCACATCATCAAATCCAAATGCAATTCGGTGAGTGATCTGCAGCAGAAATGTCAAACTATACGAAGGTTGCATTTCACGTTTTTAAAGGCAGCGGATCAGACAAGTGAAATTGCCTTTTGTCCTGCTTCTTCTCTGGCGTTGCTTCGCGCTGCCATCCTGTAATTTGCAGCCTCAATGAACGAAAACTAGATGCACTACAATTAACTCGATTCAATGTCTATTTTCATGTTCAATGTAGCATCAAAATGCGAATTGATTTTGTTTACCGAGTTACGTGTAAACAAAAAAAAAAACAACAAAAAATGAATCATAGTATCTGAGAGGCAAGATTGTCGCATTGGTTAATTTATTGCATTATCATAGGGGTCAAGAGGGAGAAGATGAAATCATGTTGGGTTTTATTTGACTGTTTATATAAAACAGAGAAGGACGCAGAATTTATTTTGGACAGCTGAACTCAAATTTGTTTGGTGTCAGTTTTTTCCCTCAGAATATGTTTTAATAGCTAATGGTGCATTTCTGTGTGATAATCGGAGTTGACAGTATATTTTATCAGCTCATCATTTATGTTGTGTGAAATGAAAAATTTTAAAATATATTTAGAGTTTTTCATTTTCATTTTCTTCCTGTATAAATGTGACTTTTTTCATTCAATTTCACATCCTAATTAAAACATGCTTGTGTTCCTCATTTGATTTTAATCGACAGTTTATAAGCAGGACAAAGTTAACTTTGCACTTTGTCATATTTTAATAGCAAACTAAAATGTTTTTTTCTCTCTCCTTGTTTAAACAATTAAAAAAATGAAACTAAGAAATTGTTCGGGATAACAATCATTATTTTTGTTTGTTTTCAGGCTTTGGTGACCTCATGAGCTCCTGCTTCTCATCACTTTGGGAGGAACTGGACAATCTGGACTTGTTGCTCCGGAAGTGACTGACACTCTTATAAGTGCTGAAGCCTGGAGGCAATAAATCAAATTGAAAATATATATATTTATATATTTGCTTGTTTTTAAAATATCCTTTCTTGATTTTCACACCTGTGGAAAAACATGATGTCCAAGTCTTTCATATCCAGCAGGGCCTCCCTAATATACCTCTAATATGCTGGCTGACTGACTTAAGGTGGCTCATTGCAGAGCTGAAAAGTCACATTTCAAACTCCTTTTTTTCTTTCCATCTCAGTGCTCAGAGCAGCTCTTTCTTCAGAAAGCTGGGGGTCACGGTGTGGAAAGGCTCCTAGTGAACTGGTAGAAATGCTGTCCCCATTACAGCAGCAGCAGGGGTCAGGCCATGGCAGCAAGCATCCAACCTGACCAAAATTGGCTGCAAAATGACCAATTACCTGAGGGAAGGCTGGGGAGAGAGGACTTGGAAAAATATGACTTTTACTTAATTCAGCTAAACTGTAAAAGAAACTAGTGTCAGGCGGATGCTTCATACTTGTGGACATATTGCAGAGTCCCACTTGTTAAGCTCCACTTTCACGTTAACAAATTAGATGGAGAAAAAAATGAGTGAAAAATTAAAGTCTTAGTCTGCGCAGTGATGCGAGAGAGATGGATGACAGGGGTAGAAATCAATAAAATGCATCCATAACGGAGAATTATTTCACCTACAGTAAAACAACGATTGATTAAACATCTTTACATGCAGGCCTTATTGAATTAATTTCCCCACAAATGGAAAACATGCAAATTCGCCAATTAAGTCATTTGCCCATGGAGAGCTGGGCTGCTTGACGTTCAGCTGCCACTGCGCCTTTAGTCTGAAACCCTTTTTAGTTTTTGTTAAGAGTTAAGTCTCCAACAAAGACAGGAAGGAGGTCAGCACTCAGCCAACACCTGAATGCGCCTCTCTTTTTTGTGCTCCCCTTGATCCCCACAGTCTGTGCCTGTCATTAGTCTTAATGATGGAAAATTGTCATGTTGATACAAGTCTTGCTCTCCCCCTCTCTTCTTTGTATAAGTAGAAGGTGGAAGCTCCATTTGTAACAAAGTTCTTTGTGACTAAAAGCCGTGGACATTGCATTTGTGCTGGGGGAGAAAAAAGGCTGTAGATGCTCTTTCCATAGCTGGGATAATTATTCCTACTGTGACCTTAATGATTCGCTCTGTTCATCCTGCATCTCATCCACGTGCCAGGCCCTCAGCAGAGCCCTGTGTCAGGGAATATGAAAAACCCATATAATGAAACCATTTTGGCTGATGGAAAAAAGGGGCTACTGAAGCTGCACTTGCTA